CGGTGCCGTCCCGGTGCCGTCCCGGTGCCGCCCGGGCCCGGCGTGCGGATCGGGAGGGGTCAGCGCGCCCCTGCCCGCGGCGCTGGCGGCAGCGCGGCTTCGCCCGGGGCCACGGTCCCCGGCAGCGGACGTGGTTGGGCAGGCAGGGCTGGCAGCTCGGGATTTCTGGGTCTGCCGAAAAACAAAGGGAATCTGCCAGCTCGGCACCGGAACCGCTGAGCCCAGAGACCGAGCGGGTCTCGCAGTACAAGCGGCCCCCAGTCAGCAGCGTGGGGCCAGGGGAGGCTGTGCAGCTCCGCGCCGCTGTGGGCTCGCACGGCATTTCCCTGCCTTACCTTGTCATCCCTCTCACGTCTGCCTACAGAACAAACCACGGGATCTCCGCATGCGGATTTATGTGAAACCCATTCACATGCAAGAGCAGCTGGGGTGCACCTCCTTTGTTTGCCCGTTCGCTCATCTTTTTGGGGTCACCTATTTAAATGCACAAGGCGCTACCGATGCAGCCTTGGCTATCTGGAATGGCATCATTTGCGTCAGTTTTAGRTTAAAGCTTTCCTGACCACATCACGAATGGCTGTTCCACTCTCAGGGTGACAACATACTGAAGTTAAAACACAGCAAGCATTTTACACATCTTTACTACCAGCAGAGTATCTGTGAAAACATACAAGCACTGGGAAATTCCTTGCTCATTGAGGCAGCCGACAGTTTTGTTTCCTCACGGCTGCTGTGGCCCAGGTATACTAGGGATGCTGGAAGGACGCATTTATATGGAAGCAACAATAGGMGATTGGAAAGGTGGATGCAAGTCTCCTGTGTGTTTTGCCCTCTCAATTGCATCAACCTATCCATGTTATGATCGTATCAGGGGATTTGGCATTTAGCTCTTTATTGCCTCAATTTCTGAGCAAATTAGCAACTCGTTTTGAGCAGGGAAGATTTATTAGAGATGATTTTTCTATCTACAGGATTTGAAATAAAACAGGATACATAACAGATACACATGATCAGCGAGTAGAAATTGTAATTMCAAAGGAAAGATTAACAAGGACACAAGTGTGTCATTGTTAAGAGATCAATTTATTATGTCCTTGACTGCAAGTTAAATTAATACACATAAAATTACAATATGGAAAAGAGATGCCAATGACTGTCATAAATACAGCTTGCTTTTCTTTCCCAGTTATTTAGGGAGGATTGGGAACACTTGTGAAATCATGTTCATTAAAGCCTCAATAGAGGCAACTAACCAATAACTGCGGTGGAAGCAACAAGGTTCTCCCCCCTCCTCGCACCCACCCGCCCTTTTCAAGAACGGGGGGAAATCACAAACGTCAATCAAGAAATACTGCAAAATGAAATGGACCCTCCCGGCAGCCGAGGCATCGCGCAGAGCGGCGGTGAGGCTCTGGCAGTCTGCTGGCAGCCTCCGGCGCCGCCARCCCTGCAGCTCCGCCGCTGACCGGGGAGCGCACGGGGCTCCGCAGCCCGGGTCTTCCCTTCCCTCCCTTGCAAAACTGTCAGGCACAAATGGGCAGGAGGATATTGGCTGCAAGGGGCGCGGAGGCTCCTCCCAGAGCCTGGATCCCGATATTTTTGGAGGATTTCTTTTAACTCAGTTACAAACCTTGGTGAAGGGAACAAGTTGCCGCTGTAGCGGAGGCAGAAAGCGCCTCTGCTTGGGAGAGCGCGGCTCCTGCTCCTTCTTTTGCATTCCCCAGGCTACCTTGGATGCTTCACCTCACTTGCGGATGAGAGCTGTGCTGCCTATCGGGGGGGATCGCTCTTGATTTGGATGTTGCTCTTTCTGTGAAAACAAGGGTTGTAAGGGAATGAGAGGGGAGACAATGAAGAAAAACCGACCGGGAGAGAACCCCAGCCCCAAGCGTTTTCCCGGGAACTGAGGGGTGTTTTGGGGCTGAGCGAWCCCGTCGGAGGCGGCGGAGGGAGCAAGCCTACCCGCTCCGCGGGGGACTTCCCGGGACCGGCTATTCCCTTCGGATGCGGACTGGGAAACCTGTAGGAAATTCTCCCGCCGCCCTGCGAAGCCACCATGAATTCAGTGGCTGGAAATAAGGAAAGGATTGCGGTCACGGCGCGGAGCAGAAAATACGGGGTAAGTTGTCGGCGCAGGGGCGGTTCGGAGCGGTGGCCACCAGCGTGCCGGGGCTCCCAGCGGCTCCCAGCGGTCGTCCCCCGGCCCCGCGCAACTTCCGCGGTGCGGGGCGGTGGCGGCTCGGGGCGCGGCGCGGAGGTGGGTGCGGGGGCCACCGCCGGCGCGGAGCGTCCGAGCGAAACTTGCCGGCGCCGCCGAGCCTCCCTGCCTGACCCGCTGCTCCTTCTCCCGCTCCAGGTGACCGACCCCTGCTCCCCCACCAAGCCCGCCGCCCCCTTCTCCCCCGAGAGCTGGTACCGGAAGGCGTACGAGGAGTCCCGGGCGGGCGGGCGCCCGGCGCCGGAGGGAGCTGGCTCTGCCCTGGGCTCCTCCGGCACCCCGTCCCCCGGCTCCGGCACCTCTTCSCCGGGCTCCTTCACCGGCTCTCCGGGACCCGCCTCGCCCGGCATCGGCACCAGCTCCCCCGGCTCCCTGGGCGGCTCGCCGGGCTTCGGCACCGGCTCGCCGGGCTCCGGCAGCGGCGGCGGCTCCTCGCCGGGCTCGGACCGCGGCGTGTGGTGCGAGCACTGCAACGCCCGCCTGGCGGAGCTGAAGAGGCAGGCGCTGAAGCTCCTCATCCCCGGGCCCGTCAGCAGCAAGGTGAGCGCGGGGCTGGGGAGGGCGCGGGGGTGCCTGTGCCCAGGGCGGCCCTCAGCAGCCGCTGGGACTCTCGGCCACTGGGCTACCTTGTGCCGGTGTCACCGCCTAGTGCTTTGGGGCTTATTTGTGTTTTCCCCCTCTTGGTCTTGTTCCCTTTTTCCATTCCCTCCTCCTGCTTCATGTGGAGCAGGGTGCCTCTGTCTCYGGAGGGCTGCCTGGCTTCGGGGGCATCTGTGACAGCTCCTCCAGCGCCCTTCTCTTCTTTCATTGTATTGACAGTGGTTCTGTGCTCTTTCCTGAGCACTTGGTTTTTTTTTGTTTCTTTTCTTTTCTGAGTGTGTGTGTGTGGTGGGTAAGTAAGGGTGGGAGTATTACATCGGAATCACTGGTCCCTTGCCCTTTTGCTGCCTTTGATACCTACAGAATGGATGTACAGACTATCCTTAGGCTTGGTAGCAACTTAGTAGTGAGGTATGTATGTATGGTCTTATGCCAGAGGTTTCTACTTCCATTGAGGGAGAAATCCTCCTGTAGCTCCGGGTTCACATGAGGCATTGAAATGTTATGTGAGCTCAAAGGTCACCCAGAGAGGCTGTGGCAGACCATTGCATTGAACCCAGTTTTCCCTGGTGCCTTTAGCAGAAGGATAACTTGGTGATGCTTCTCTTATAGAGAAGTGCCATTTTATTTTTATTTATTCCTAATAAGACTTGAAAATATTTGAAGCTGCTGGGTCCTGAATGTTGGGGTAGAATAATAGTATRCCTAAAGAGGATGTGAGGATTTCTGACATCTAGTCTCAGGTTTTAAGAGCCGAYTGATCCTGAGCACAGTTGAAAGCCTGCTTTCTGTGTCTCTTGAGGTATTTGGTACTTCCAAAGGCATACTCCGAAATTCCTTGGTTTCATTTGGCATTGTTTTTTTCYTGTTTGTTGTGCATATAAGATTAAGGCTAACAGCCCTAAACGAGTGACCAGCAGCCCTTGGCTGACCTCATGCTACTATAGTAAGCATTGGGCTCCTCCATAGCAACCCTGTGAGTGTTGTATTGTGAATGGGTCTACTGCCCCTGGAATGTAGTACAATGCATTTTGTTTGCCTTGTTGGGTCCAGGTATTATCAAATGATAATATTTACTCTTCCACTTCAAAGARTTTTCATTAGTGGTTACAATAAAGAGGTATCGTGGAAAAGGGCTGAATGCTGAGAAAAGGTCCCTGGTATTGCTGTTGTGTTGTACTCTCCATGATTTATTTATGTGCTCTTTGAGAGGGAGCTGGTGCTCTCGTGAACAAAAGACTCAAGGGCTGGTTGTTACCTTGTCGCAAGAGTTAACGTGAAAAGGAAAAGATGGACCCACCAAAATTCATAGTACATTTAACCATTAAGACATGGTTGATTCACTGTAAAGTGGCCCTGTACCAAGGTCTTTGGTAGACTCTGGTCTACCAAATTTCAGACTGTGTGATTTAATAGTGATTACTAATTGTGAGTATAGATGGGAAATTACTGATACAGGTATGGGAGTCATCAGAACAACTGAGATTGGAGTAGAGGGGAGGATAAAATTAACATTAAAGCACAGTGTTAAATCGAAATTGACTGATTTTAGTAACATAAATATTTTCACAGGTTCTCTTACTGCAATAGTGATTGGCATCATCCATCCTAGCCTTCGYGAGAGGTTACCCTTGTGTTTTACTGTTATTTGTTCTGCTGTTCACTTAGTTTAGCYGATGGTGTTGTACAGGCCAGTCTTTATTTGTATCAGTAGCCTTTTAGCCTCCTTACCYATGTTCTTTTTTTCTTCTTACACCTCCTTTCCAAACCTTCCAGTTCTGTAGGAGTCCCACTTCCAAAAGCGCTATCCAATCTGTGCATTTCGGRGCAAAGGAAGGAAGCACAAGTAAGGGCATTGGTGGGCATTGGTGACACTCTGCCCTATTTGCTGTGCTTAATGGTGCTTGCTGGCTCAATCCTGTGGGTGTATACTCTGGCTTTTGGCACAAAATTCCTTTCTGAGCTGGGTGCTGCTGGCTGTGACTGCAGAAAGATCTCTTTCTCTCATGCTTTCTGGCTCATGACTGTTAAGAACTTTCTGGGCTTGTGATTTTTGCTTTCTGAGGCGCTGCCCAGCAGAGTGAGGCTCTGGGCAAGGTGATGTGGAACACAAACACCATGGCCGGTGCCATTGACTTCTTTGGACTGGGTATGCTCTGTGTGGAAGTTTGTTTCTGCTGATGTCACGGGGCAGCCTTATCAGTGTCTGCTTTGAGGAAAACAAGGTGTTGGCATGGGCTCTGYGAGTTCAGTCAGGGCCTGTGAGCTGCCTTTGTGTGTGCCACAGTAACGCTCTGGAGGTCCCTTCTGAGGGTGAAATGTACAGTTTCTCAAAAATGTGGAAACCTGCTTGTGTCTGGGGAAAACTGGCTTTGGTTTGGGTTGAGACTGAGGTCTACCACACTGTGTTAATGTTGCTGGGATGTTTTCAGGGTCCTGTGAGGTCTGCTCTTGATTGCTGCTATGGAAATAGGGTTTTTTTTTTTTTGAGTGTGGAATGGATCCTGCCACTGAGTAAAGAAGGAGCAGGTCATAATCCTGATTCTGGGTATTCCCTCAGAACTTAGAAAGCGTCCTACAACTCAAGTCTGTGGTGCCCATGGGACACAGCTAATTGGTAATATACCTTTATTAGAAAACTATTAAATAAAGCATTTGCAATGTATTTGTCATCTTTTAGTTAACCAGATCTGACGTATATTTTGTGTTGGTGCTGTTGAAGACAGCCTAGAAATTTAATGAGAATTATGAGTACAGTCTGTGGCACCTGTTTCACATTTACGCTGTGTTTAGTAATGCTTATGATCTGGGATAGTGTGTGTTGCAGAATATGAGAGTATCTGTGTTTTAATGTGTATCTCGTAGCAGATAGTGAAATCTGCAATAACCTCTCCAAATGTGAACCTATATGGATGTTTTTGGCAGTGTGCAACCATGCAAAGGTTTGTGTATATCTGTAGAGTGTAAAAGTACACTTAATTGCTTCATAAACAGACCAGGCTTTATGCATGAARCTATGCACTGAAGCTTTTCATTTGATTGAGAAAAAGCCACACAACCTAGAGTAAACTACTTCTGACTAGCTCATTGTTAGTGGTGAGGTGTTTAGCTTTCCATTTTAAATAGAAACATTCTCTCCTAAYATGTCAACAGGATGGAAACTTTGTCTTTTGTTTCTTTTCCTTTTGGTAAGGCACAAAGCTGAAGAATATATAATTACACTTACATTATTTTATTTTAGCCATTTAAAATGCCAGGTTCCCTGCCAACAGCAAATAGAATAGTGCTAAAAGCTTATTGTTTCTTTTTCCTCCTCTTGTGATACAGATGTGACTTAATGGTGTTTAGCAGTTATGTGCATAGAAGGGGTTRTATTTTATGAGAATTGAATCTTATTGTAACCCCCCAGCGAAGCAGGCCTGTGGGAATTGAGTGGCACAGGTGGTTGATGTAGTTGCTCACTGCAGTTTGTGACTGAGGGCATCTTGGAGCTTTTGGTGCCTGTTTGTGGGGTTTATGATGCATGATGATGAAAATTGTCTCAAATTACTAAGAGAGCTTTTTATTTTTTTTGTTAAGCTTTTTCTTAGGTTGTATATTTAAACATCAGACAAAGGTCTAGCATAGAAATTCATGGCATCATACTCCCTGTTTATCAAAATCTGTGTGAAATCTGTTTGCTTTGACTTCAAACCTGTGATATCACCTGTCTTCAATGAACACAGGCATCTGACAATTSAAGGGCTGCTATATTGATGTGTAACAAATTGTATTGTGTGTAAATAATCAATTGAATGCTAATAAGAATGCTCCCAAGCTGATGGTTATAAATTTGTTAGTATGGGATTCCAAAAATCCTGAATACAACCTGTAAACCAAGGTAATGTGAGTGTGTAGACATGAACTGCTGCTTGAGCATGCTGTGATTGGCTCAGGAAGAAAGGATGCTACTATAAACGGTAGGCAGGGACAACACTCATGTTGCTAAGTGGTTTATATTGTGGACTTGCCCTTACCTAAAAAGTCTCTGCTTTTGAGAATAAGAATTGGGTAAATYCTGAGCAGTCTTTTCCTTCCCTCTGAGCACAAGAGGGACAAAAAGGTCTTGCATTCAGGGTACAGTTTTGTTTTGGTTTTTTTTTTCCCCACCAACTTACTGCCACTRTCTCATTTTTTTGCTTGCCTATTGTTGAATTAGTCTTCTCTTTCAGGGTGTTTAGTGGTCAAAGACTTGACTCATAATTATTAATAATGAGGAAAGCCCTGAAGCTGATAAGAAAAATAGTTTTCTGTTAGCTGGTAGATAGTTTAGAAACATTCCCAGTAGAGACAGGACAGTAATGAACCCTTCCTCAAAGCTTAGCAAGTGGCAGAATRATGGAATTTCATTTCTGTCCAGACCTTTAATTTGTGAACAAGCAYGGCCAGTCTGTATGGTGACTTAATTCACTGTGCAAAAAAATCTCAGGCACCTAATCATTTCATCCCAACTCATTGTAATGCAGATAGGATTATTGCATTAGAAATGTGATTTTAAATGGCCCRAGGCAGTAATTTGTCAGCATTTGGGAGGATTAACTCCATTAAAGTTTAGGCAACAACAACCATTCTTTTGTGTTGCATCACAGGTCACAATACCAAACATTTAGCATAACTCATCTGTGAATCTTCTTACAGTTGTATGCTTCCTGGCAAGTTGGGAAACAGAGCTACTTCGCTTGCTCTGGAATTACAGCTGCTTGCAGAGGTCTAGAGGAGACAAACGGATATGCCTTTACCACTGATGAATTAATGTAAGCCCTTTCCTAGGAGCAGCTGGAAGTCTTGCTGCTGCAATCTGCAGTGTCAACATGTGAAATAATATAGCTATTTCTTTTGAGCTTGCAAATGTCTTTGAGGTAAGGGTGAAGATGCTGTGTGGTAAAGACTGCTCTTTAGGA